AAGTCCAGTTCATTGAAAAAAGAAGAAAGTTCCTCTACCCACCATACAAGATGCTTTGTGGACAGGGTGTCATCCTCGCCATCAGATGCATCTGAGGATATCATTGAAAAATGCAATGAATCAAACAATTGTGACTTCTTTTCTTCCTCAGTAACCACTGTCAGTCTCTTCTCCAGTTTCTAGGGTACAAAATGAAAAGTTTTAGACTTAGCAGACTTTCTTTTAATAAACAATAGTTGTGGTTAGAAGAGATAACATCATTTGAAATAGATGTTTCTCTCTTACTCATAATACTTAAAGACATTTCCAAAACTGCTTGGCTCATTGTACAACTAACATAACATTCAATTTTCAATATCAAACTAAGCTCAAGCAGGAAATCATCAATACTGGCAATCTCCACAATCACATAGGGTAGAGAAATCAAGGAGAAGAAAGAGTTTAAGAAGTGAATGAAATGGTCCACAGTTAACTTTTTGTGTAGAAACATCATTGAAGCAAGCTAACTCTTACCCTTTTAATTCTTTGTCTCCTCTTCTGTTCCCTTTGGTATTGCTCGTATGTACCATTTTCCATCTGCCTCCTCTTTCTTTTGTTGGAGGCAAAGTTTTGAGAGACAGCATCTGAAACATTAAATATTTCTGAGGTGAGGCCAGGAAACCAAGGTTTTATACTGAAGCTGTACCCGAGAAATTATTTGACTAGCTTTATACAGTTAATGTACCAGAGTTAAAAGCATTTACTCTGTTTGAAAAAGACAACATGTAGGCATTGTGAGCCATCTTAGGTGATGTAAACAGAGCAGGTTTATTGCGGTTTAACTTTAAAAGAAATCAATCGCAATGAAGCAAAAGTTGAGTGAGATGTCCATTTCTTGGAGTCGATAAGTGAGAAATAGTTGACTTAAAGCTCCTGACCAATTAAAACAATCAATACCCAAGGGAAACATACCAAATATCCGCTCCTCTATGCAGAGTGTGTCATTCTTTATGTGCTCAACTTCTTGAACTTCTTTAAGAAGTTTTCTGGCAACTTCTTGGTTTGGTGGCTCATTCTCCTTGTTGGCATATAATGTGTAGATAAAAGTAAATTGCAACCATTTTTATCACAAACCAAAGTTAAGGACTTTGAGTACCCAAAAATGTTTCTGGAGACTTTCTTGGAGTTTTTTGAGGGCTCACACAGTTCAGGGTCTTTAAAGGACACAGAAGAGCCGATTAAACAGTGCCTCAGTCTTCAACAGCACAGGGAGATATTCATCAAAGACGCATTTGTGTGATTGGACTGCAAGTGATGATATAGTTGAAATGTCAACATTTAGAGATGAAACATTAGACACTGATGATTTAACTGCACTAGATTCAGCATATAAAGAACTCTTAGGAATTGGCGAGGGTGCTTTTCTAGAAATGCCACACATCATAGCAGAATTTAAATCGCTCAAAGTTGGATCTGTAGTATATAGATTATCGCAAAGCCAGACCACAAGGAATTCATTTGTTCCAGCAAACTGGGCAGGTCATAAAGGACGGTTAGGTTAATTGCCTTCAGTTGTGGTATCATACAAACAGGTTTGGAATATCTGAACCTACTTCTCTTTGTCACACATTTTACTTCGATCGCCTGAAGATATCAGCTGTAGCTGCCAATTCACTCCGCTTTTTTAAGTAGTTTTCCTTTTTATTTGTGATATATTCATGCCACAGAAGGCTTTGATCTGTAGCAGTGGATGTAATGATGTCAGGCCAGGACAAGTTCTTTCATTTTTTCGTCACCGTATTAAGAGAGTGTCTCTGTAAGAGCGGTCCGGTCGATTTTGCTTGAGACA